GGACCTTCCATTAGGGAAGCAGCCAGGGTGAAGTTTCTCACACCATTAACCCTTTAATTGTTGAAACGTACATCTAAATCTTTACTGCTAGCACTCCGAATGTTGATGTTTTTTTTAAACAAAGAAGACAATTTTCTGTGTAATAAGAAAAAAATTAGCACCAGTACTTATCGAGATATAAGGAAGCGAAGTTGACACTTGATGCTCACCTGACAGCAACATGGGGTCTTGCCGCTTGCAGAAATGTTACCAATTTAACTTTTTTCTCATTTTTTTTTTAACGAGTAGTTTTTGTTTCAATAATTACAATTTTTAATAGATCTTGTGATATCACAGCCAATCTTTGCTCTTACACAAATTTTAGGTACGGATATAGTAATGAAACAAGTCAGAAACACACTGACAGGTGAACATGTTCACCTGCCTTGGTCACATACTATCTAAAAATATATACAAATTATTTATAGGTCCCGGCAATGTTTTTAGAAGTGCTGGAGTGTGAAACTCCTTGAAGCACAGTGTCAGTGCAATGTTGAGTGCAGTCACGCAACATTGCTGTACCATCACCACATGCCCCCTTCGCATGTTTTCTATTTTTTCTCACTGTTCCACACACACAAACATGGTTGTCTGTCTCTGTATCTGTCTATGTCTGTGTGTGTGTCTCTCTCTCTGCCTGTCTCTGTCTACCTGCCTCTCTCTCTCTCTCTCTCTGCCTGCTTGTCTCTTTCTGTCTGCTCGTCTCTCTCTTCCTGTCTGCCTGTCTCTATCTCAGAGAGAGATGTTTATAAACCCGATTGTAAGCTAGACTTCTGAACAGGTATTACACGAGTTGCAGAATCGTCACATCTGCACAAGTGGAAACGTACAACTATGGCCAAAATGTGTATTATTACGTACTTTTACCTTTGATATACCTTTGACGAGTTTTGAGTCTTCCTACTCATGAAGTCGGGCCATGGGCCAGGCTCATCTGGTGTTAGCCTGGTCAACCAGGTTGTTGCTGCTGGAGGCTCACTACCTCACATATCCATCACAGTCTGGTTGATCTGGCACCTGGCGAAGATAGTCGTCCAGTTTTCTCTTGAAGACTTTTACACTTGTCCCAGCAGTGTTTTTGATATCTTCTGGTAAGATGTTGAATAATTTGGGGCCACAAATGTTGACGGTGTTCCTTTTTGTGCCCACTGCACCCCTGTTTTCACTGGGTTTATTTTGCACTTTCTCCCATATCTCTTGCTCCAGTATGTTTTCATGATAGTGTGCAGATTTGGGACCAGGCCCTCGAGTACTTTCCAGGTATATATTATCATGTATCTCTCTCTCTCTCCTCCACTCAAGTCATGCTTATGCCTCATATCAACAAGCACAGTACAGCACTTTGTCTGGCTTTTTTGGGTAATCTTAGGTAATGTACACACTGTATGATAAGTGTACTTATGTGTATCTGTGCCTAAATAAATTTAGTCCTTGATTCTGTTCAAGGGACACCTGTCAGTCAAGCAATTACGTTTCCTTGGTATATATTTCTTGAATACTGCACACACTGTTAAGACTCATTCTATACTGCCTAGGCCAATTAGGCCTCTAGCACCAAATTTGAAGGCAGGAAAAAATAGAACGCTGATGTATGTTTGGAGTGCTAGCAGTAAGAATGTAGATCTATGTTTGGGCCATGTAATTCGCTAACTGTCCAAACGTACATCTACGTTCACTTCCGTAGCATTCTTGAGTGTAGATCTAAGTTCGATTTCACATGCTTTCTTATGTAAAAAAAAAAGAATGTAGATCTACGTTCAGAATGCTACGCAGAGTGAACGTAGATCTATGTTTGGACAGTTTAAGGGTTAAAGAGGGCAATTTTCTGTGTATAGTTACGGCCAAAAAAAAAATTTTGGGGTCGGTACTTACTGAGATATAAGGCTGTGAAGTTGCCACTGGATGCTCATCTGAAGGCAACATGGAGTCTTGCCGCTTGCAGAAATGTTGCCGATATACGTTTTTTTCTCATTTTTTTAATTTATATAATTTTCATGTTTGGAGCAAGGGGCTAGTATCCCCTTCTCCTGTATAAATTACTAAATTAAAAGAGAAACTTTCATTTTTCTTTTTGGGCCACCCTGCCTCGGTGGCATACGGCGGGTTTGTTGAAAAAAAAAAAAAAATTTTCTGATAATTACAATCTGTAAAGTTCTTGTGATTTCATAGCCAATGTTTGTTCTGACACTAATATTAGGTACTGAAATAGTAATCAAAAAGTCACAAGCACACTGACAAGTGAACATTTTTCACCTGCCTTGGTCACATTCTATTGTTTAGAAATACATGTATATACAAAGTATTTATAGGTCCCAGCAATGTTTTAAACATGCTGGAGTATATATGAAACTCCTTGAAGCATGGTGTAAGATGGGTGTCACTCCACTGCTGTCAGTGCAGCAGCAGTTGAGTGACATCTGATGATCATGCACTGCCTTGGCTTTATTTGTTTTCAATGTTACACACAAACATGTCTGTCTGTATATCTGTGTCTGTCTGTCTCTCTGTGTCCGTCTAGCTCTGTCTCTGCTTTTGTCTTTCTGTTGGTCTTCCTGTCTGTCTTTCTGTCTCAGAGAGAGAGCTGCTCATGAACCAACAGGTATTACACACAATGCAGAGTTGTCACGTCTGATTCCTGAACAAGTGAAAATGCGCATTACTTGCCAGTCATGCTTATTAAGCCTTTTATCTACAAGCATAGTATAGCACTTTGTATTTTTGGGGGTTATCCTAGGTATTTTACACTATGTATAATAACTGTATTTATGTGTACCTGTGAGACAGAGATAGAGATAGACAGAGATAGATTCAGAGGTAGACAGAGATAGATAGAGACAGAGACAGATAGAGACAGAGATGGATAGAGACAGAGGCAGATACAGACAGAGATAGAGACAGTCAAAGTCAATCAGCCACCCACCTGGCCAGCCGGCTGAACATGTATAACACATGTTCCAGTATTGTTTCTCTTTACTTAGGGCATAGGTTATAGGACATTCTGGCAGGATGACACTACTAGTGATATGAAAATTGAAAGGATGTTGCACATGGGTTATTATCAAGGTTTTTGATACTTCCTCGACCACTTGTGGCCACATCCATCTCAAAGCCACTAAACTTAGGGGTCAACATCACTTTCCTCTTAAAATGGGAGTGTTAATACGAAATGACATCAGTGAATCCCTCGTGTTTACCACGCTATCTGCTCTACCTGGCGCTCAATTGAAATGGTGTTCCCACAAGGTACTAAGTGGTCCCAAGTTTTTGTAATATGTACTGTGCACACCGAGCGTAAAGACCCATTGTATACTGACCAGGCATCTCAGGCCAATTGTGCCAAATTTAGAGGCAGGAAAAATAAACCATTGTATATTTTTGGAGGCAGCATTAACATGTAGATCACATTTGGACAGTAAGGTTAGAGGTTTATAAATTATTCCAATCTATGAACATTACCTAGCAATCTTTTGTCACTTTTTTAATTATACAACTGTGAATGTTATTCTACTTTGATGCATGCTAAGGTAATTTCTTTAATAATTTTATAGCCTTATCTGATGTTATATGTGAGTTTTTCCTTAAGTCATGATTCTATTCTTGTAATTTTTTTTTATTTATCAACTGGCGATTCCCACAAGGCAGGGTGGCCCGAAAAGAAAACTTTCACATCTTATCTCATTCCATACCTGTCTGCCAAGGGCACTTTACACTACAGTTTTTAAACTGCAACATTTAGTCTTGCATCAAATTACCTTTTATTTTTACTTTAGTGAACCATGTACATAGTTAGGGTTTCCTGTGGAAAAAAAAACTATAGGGTGACCTTCCAGTCAAATACTGCACAGGTTTTATATTAATCTATCGTTTAAGCTGTCAGTGTTTTATTTTACTTTTAGTCTGCAGAAAAATATTTTTTAATTTTACTTGCAGATAAAGACATTACCAGTATATTCTCAAACATCTCCATGGGAAAGGAACAGAATCTTCCATCGTAAGCCATGCGTGTTTAAGAGGGACTAAAATGCGGGAGCAAGGGCTAGTTTACTCTTCTACTGTTTATATTACAATGTAAAGAGAAACTTTGTTTTTCTTTTGGTCACTCCGCCTCGGTGGGATATGGCCGGTGTGTTGAAAGAAAGATTCTCAAACATTAATTTTTGTCCAAGAAAACTACTGTTAGACTGTGTAACAAGATGCAGGTAAAAAGGTATTCACTGTTATATCTATAATTCTGACAATGAACTTATAGATTCTTTTAGCATATATAGGTTTCACTAGTCAGCAGTTTATTACAGTACTGGCATGTAAACATACAGCAGTGTACATACTTCTGTCTGACCATTATCAGCAGAATTTACTACAGTATTACAATGCACAGGGTTGGGTCAAAGAGATCCTGGAGACAAACGTGTAAACTTTGAAAAACTTGAGCACAGTGAGACTCCATTGCTATGTTAATACTGCTGGATAATACTATGCCAACTATGGTATGGACAGTAGTTAGGTAAGGGGAATATTTGCCTGCTAGTTTCCATACGCTTTTACAGATTGCATTTATTAAATAAATGTCAAAGTGCAGCGATGTAAGTACTTCAACAAATACTGTACATTTAAACCACAGAATGGGTGGGAATTGAATTTGCGGCTAGTGAGTCTTAAAACTCTAGACCAATCACTCCCCACTTGTACCATGGTTTGTTTGCAATCATGTTATTACAATTCTGAGAGTCAACATATGTTTAGTTTCATACACTATCATATATTGACAAACAGAATGTAGCACATTCATATGGGAATGGCCATTCATTTTAGTTTTGTCTCATTATGTGTTCTTTAACTATCAATCAAACTTCTAAATTCCCAGAAAAGTAGAACACTTTTTATCATTCAATTTAGTTATGTTCTTATATTAGTCATGTATTTTTTATTTAATTTTGTCAAAATTTTTTGGGAGAATTAAATTTCTATTAAAATAAAATTTGCTTATAATCATAACATCATTAACACTATCAGTACACTATACAAACAGTAGTAAAAATTAAACACTAATCAATTATTTATATATACTTTAAAATACTGTAGTTATGTAAAAACAGTAAAATAAACTAGTATAAAAAATAATTGAAAAACAGCTAACCTTTACTGAGTTGCCATTGATAGTAAATAGAATAACTAAATGCATCCCAATATATCTATCATTATTATTTTCACTTCTTATACCCAAGAATAGCTTCTCCAACACCAAAGTAGTACACCATCTGTGCTATTCCAAACAGAGGAGCAATTACGATCATTCTGCATGCTCCACCTTTGAAGAATGCTCTAGGTCCTTCATCCTTCATAATTGTTCTGGAAAAACATGTACCGATTAGCATAATACGTATTGTATTTTAGTTAATATAAAATCATATCTACATTGTAATAACAAACATGCACAAAAACAAATAAGGAATCTTTAAACTCTGCTATCAAATATCTTTAGGAAATTAATCTAGTTTACAAATTCTCAAAGTATGACCATACGACCATCCATGTTTATGGATGAGGTCCATATGGTATTATTTAAAAATAGTCGTATAGTTAATCATTCATTATCTGGTTCTAATGGGGAAAGGGAGTAGTGGAGTTTAAAAAATGCCCGATAAATTAAAATTTTTATGATCCTTAATTTTTGCCAACTCTTTTTTAGTATTAGCTATGTATGTGTTCTGTATGTAAGGGCAGGGAAAGAAGAGGGAGGGAGGGAAGGAAGATGGGAGGTCTAGATGGAAGGCAGAAATAAGGGAAAAGGAAAGCATGCAAGCATCCTCCCTTCTTGTATCACTTCAACTTTGTAAAAACCTCTCATAGGCTGAACTTCTCTTTTACTACTCTCTTTATCTCATCATTCCTCCAATTGCTCTTCTTCCCTCCCACACTCACCCTCCTATATCTACAAACTTCTGCTGAACACTCAAACACTGCATTCTTAACCCTTTGAGGGTCCAGAGGCCAAATCTCAAGAGTAACAGCCAGGGTCCAAGAATTTTCAAACAAAATTTTTGTTATTTTTTCTTATGAAATGGTAGAATCTTTTTCTGAAGGTAATAAAACAAAAAGTACGAAATTTGATGGAAAAATCAACAAAACTATGCCCTCACGTATCTTGATGCTCAGCGATATTTACACGGCGATTTTGCCAATTCTGACTCCCATTTTAGGCCAATTACATTATTCCAGTCTACCAAATTCTTTGCTATTTTGCTAGTATTACTTCCATTTTATCGATTGAACAAAAAAATCCCCCTGTCAACTGTTTCAACTACCCAATAAAGTGATAGGAAATTGGTAATTTGGCCAATTTAACACAAAGTTCAAAATATTCCAATTTCAAAATAGGGTCCAGAATAAATAATGCAGGCATTCCTGGTGCTAAACTAAAATTTCTTCTGTTCATTAGTTACATTTTCAGGATTTATAAATGATTTCCATTTTGATTTTTTTTTCATATAATGAATTTTTATTCACACTAAAAAATGGAAGATTTACTGTTATGCAATATTGTAATAACTGTATAAATAATATCACCACGATTCATGAACATATATTAGACCCACCAGTTGACGCGAATAAGACACATGACATTTGTTTACTCTTGAACATTGGCAAAAATTTAACATTTCTGCTACTCTGAGCTCAGTTTCAAGCCATTTTCCTTACTGAAACCAATCAAAATCATCTTTGTTTCTGTAATATATCTTCCATTCTATGAAATGAGACCAAGAAATCATGAATACAACTGTAAAAAACATGAAAAAACACGGCAAAATCACTGTTTTAATCCGAAATTATAGTCGCAGCTTTTTTTCCTATTATGCACTGTGTGCTGCAGGATTTTTGTGGTGCACACTTACCACATAGATGTATTCTCTCATATCTAGGCCCAAATTTACCGCTCACAGCTTATCTGAGTGAGCTGAGCTCATGGCATAGATCTACGGTTTGGACCTTGGCTTTAAAACCATAGATCTAAGGGATGGACCCTGAAAGGGTTAAATCCACCTCATACCTCTTCAACCTCATTGCCTATATTCTCACTAGCCCATCTTTCTACCAATATTTGCTCATATCTTGCCCTACCTGCCTCCTCTTTTACTCTCACTGTAGCTACAACTGAACAATGATCTGATATATCTCTTGTCCCTTTATAAACACAAACATCATGAAGTCATCTTTTATCTATTAAAACACAGTCCAATAAACTACTGTCATTTTGTCCTATATCATATCTCGTATAGTATAATAATGATAATGCCTTATTTTTATGAGAATACATAATGTAGAAACATGGGCAGATACACAAGTAAAATGACAGGCACAAAAGAAAGCTACTAATTATGCAATGCATTTTGGGCAACCACTCATAAGGCTAATCAACTAGTTAAGAACTAGACAAAGCATCCTTGTGTAGTAACTTAAATACACTCATACGTTCAACAAGAAAGGCGCTAATAACAAAATGGTTAATTATAAAACATTTACACATTATTTAACTAGTTCAATAATCTTCAGTTTTATGGTATGATTAAATACACAGTGAAATTACAATACATTACTTAAACTGCATCACAAATCTAATGGGACAATATATGTTACCAAGTATATATGGCAGTTGAAGGATGGCTGGGTCAAGAAATGGGACATGAGGACAGGTATTGTTTGACTAATGAATTGCTGTCTGGATTACATCTAAGAATATAAGATGCTTTTTAAGCAGAGAGTTCCAGATTTTAGGGCCTTTTATGAACATTGAATTTTTACACAGGTTGAATTGGACTCAGGGGATATCAAAGAAGTTTTTGTGTCTTGCCATCTTGTGTTATGTCTGAGTTCTGTTGCAGATATCACTTGAGGAAGAGTTTATATTGAAAATGATTGTCCTATATATAGTAAGCACAGCAGTATGAGTACATACTCCATATCTCAAGTCTAAACTTTTGAAGAGTGAGTGTGTGTGTTGTCTAGCACTAGATTGAGTAATCATTTACACAGCAGCTTTTTGTTATTATTGCTTTTAGGTGGTTTGACCAGATCTCCCGGCACCAATAATATAGGTGTGGTAGAGATAGATTAGCAAGTACTGCATTGTAAGTAGTGCTGTTTGAGGTATATAGTACTATATCTTGGAGAGGATTCCTACTGTTTTGGAGACTGGTATAATGGAGTATTTCTAGTAGTACAGTGCAACCATTGGTTTTCGTTTGCTCTGGTTTTTGTTGAATTCGGTTTTTGACGACTTTTTTTGTCAAAATTTTGTCGCAGTTTCCGTTCATCACCCTGGTTTCCATCGACTTGACAGTGGTCCAACATACCGTGCATGTCCGCCCGTGTCCACACAAAACATCCCACGTGTTCTGAGTCAATCTGAATTTGTTTCTTGTTGGTAGAGAGTGGTAGTGGTGGTGGTAGAGGGTGGCACTGATGGTGATATGGGGTGGTAGAGATGGTGGAAGAGGGTGGTAGTGATGATGGTAGAGGGTGGTAGTGATGGTGGTAGAGATAACCTCTCCTCCCCCTTCCCTCCTCGCCATCTTCCATAAGCCAACAAGTCTTCAATAAAGGTTAAAGTGATGTTAAATGTTCATTTATCCATTTCCTTATTCCTTTATATTTATTTCTCATTGTTTTCTGTATGCAAAACTATATTCTCTATAATGGATCAATTGGATTTATGTTATTTCTTATGGGAAATATTGCTTCAGTTTTCATCAAATTTGGTTTTCGTCAGACTTTCTGGAACGAATTAATGACAAAAACCGAGGTTCCACTGTACACCATATCATCCAACCATCTTGTATCTCATCATCTCATAGTATAAATTATCTCATTTCATCATCTCATATCTCATCTTGTCAGCATATTACCTCATCATCTGATTTAACCCTTTCAGGGTTGACAGGCCCTGTCAGAGACTTGTTCTCAGGGTAAGCCAAATTTCCAAAAAAAAAAAAATTATTTTTTCTTATGAAAAAATAGTTTTTTTTCTAAACATTACAGGCTAAACAAAATTTTTTTACCATCAATACTTACCGAGATATGGAGGCGTGAAGCTGACAGAAAATGCGCATCGTGTGGTAACATCGCCGACTGCCATCACCCGGTATTCTTTTATTTAGTATTTTATGTACTATTTTCTATTATTTTTTAATTTTTCTTTTTCCAAGTAACTTTTATGGCCTGTGAGACCAATATGATCAGTATTTTGTAAGTTATTTCTATTTCAATACTACACAATAACGGCATAAACACTGTTGTCAATATTTTGTTTACACAAACGATATGAAATGTTGTTTATTACTATTTTTCTATATTTTATATACACATATACAGTGCAAAGATGAGTAGTGGGGGGGTTGAAGAGGGTTGGAATAGTTTTAAAAATGCAGTATTAGAATGTGGGGCAGAAGTTTGTGGTTATAGGAGGGTGGGGGCAGGTGGAAAGAGGAGTGATTGGTGGAATGATGAAGTAAAAGGTGTGATAAAAGAGAAAAAGTTAGCTTATGAGAGGTTTTTACAAAGCAAAGTGTTATAAGAAAAGCAGAGTATATGGAGAGTAAAAGAAAGGTGAAGAGAGTGGTGAGAGAGTGAAAAAAGGAGAGCAGATGATAGGGGTGGGAGAGGCAACTGTCAAGAAATTTTAATGAAAATAAGAAAAAATTTTGGAGTGAGTTAAACAAGTAAGAAAGCCTAGGAAAAGTATGGATTTTTTCAGTTAAAAAAAAAGAGTAGGGGAGTTAGTAGATGGGGAGAGGAGGTATTAGGTAGATGGCGAGAATATTTTGAGGAACTTTTAAATGTTGAGGAAGAAAGGAGGCGGTAATTTCATGCACTGGTCAGGGAGGTATACCATCTTTTTAGGATTTAAGAAGAGCAGAATGTAAGTGTGGGGGAGGTACGTGAGGCATGATGTAAATGAAAGGGGTAAAGCACTGGAACTGATGGGATCATGACAGAAATCTTTAAAAACAGGGGGGGATATAGTGTTGGATGGCTGGTACTTTTGTTTAATAAATGTATGAAAGAGGGGAAGGGTACCTAAGGATTGGCAGAGAGCATGTATAGTCCTTTTATATAAAGGGGAAAGGGGACAAAAGAATTGTAAAATTATAGAGGAAATAAGTTTTTGAGTATACCAGGAAAAGTGTACGGTAGGGGTTTATAATTGAAAGAATTAGAGGTAAGACAGATGTGGATTGCGGAATAGCAAGGAGGTTTTCAGAGTGGGTAGGGGATGGTAAGATCAAGTGTTTTACATTGAAGCATATTTGAACAGTATTTTGATAAAGGTAGGGAAGTTTTTATTGCATTTA